CAAAAAAGCACAACCCGACTAGCCTTGCTCAAATATTTTGATCCTCTTCTTCAGTCTAGACCACCCAATCAAAGCTCCTAGCATGTCGCGCCGCCACTAGAAACCTTAGTGCCAAAAATGCAAATATTTGTTTTTTTTAAAACGGAGGCAAAAGATTTGCCTCATCGATTAATTAAGCAAAAGAGAATTGCCTAGTTAATTTACGGAAAACCAGGCGAAAACCGATACAAACAAATCACGTGCGGACTACTCACAGAGAATGCAACCCCATAAGCACATGATCAACCCGACAATCATACCCAACACATAACGACCACCACTCCCCACACTGCTACATCGCAAAGAAACCCTCAATGAAGACCACATGCACCACCAAATCCACGGAGACAAGCCAAGCCATAAGGACAACCCAAAAGACTGGTGACCAACCATCAAGCAGCTGCGGACGCCTTTTCCGTGGCGCTACTCTTCTTGCTCTTGCTCTAGAGAGCCTCCTCCACAATCTTCTTGCCAGATCCAGGGCTAGCCCTCTCCAAACGTGCGAACAAGTTGTGAATCTCCAACTCAAAGAGAATCTCGTTGACCTTGTCACGCGCAGAAACCTGCCCAACTGTCACTTGCGACTGGGTGACCGAAGCGTCAGAACCTCCATGATCCACAAAGGCAAGCGGCTGGCTGGGCTCCAAAGGATCAGGCGCCAACACACCGACCACATCAACATCATCAACCACAGGTACCACCGACACGATGGACTCAGGCGTCTCCAGATGCACACATGACAGAGGTGAATCATGTCCCTCATTGTCCACAACGACGAATGGCGGGCTTGCCGCCAACATTTGCAAAGACGACATCATGGGCATCACCAAGCCCATCTCATTTGGAAGCACCATCGACGAAGGCGGAGATGGTGCCTCACATAGCTCCTGCAGCCCAGGCATAATCTGCACGTCTGAAACATGAACATATGTGCATTTTACATGGAAAAAATCATGCCACTGTTCTCCTGATAGGTTTATCGAGTGAATACTTCCTCCTCTTCTACCTCTTCATAGAGGACGTTTGCGACTGAGTCTGGCCAGCAGAAAAATCATAAGAAAGAAAGCACAACGGTAGACAAATCGTTCGCATGTTTAAGATCTTGAGCAATTTTCTGTCCATAGATTTCGCAAAGAAAAAATGAGGAGTGTGTGTTAACAACCGACAACCCAATCTTCCGTAACACAAAAATCAACACACAACCCCTCTCCATTTCCCCGCAGCAAAATACAGTGCTATGCATGACAGATACTCCATGTTCCTGAATCACGATAGGCCAAACATTAGGATTCAGACAAATGCATGGCACTTCGTTTACTGGCAGACCGTGAGCTATATTATCTAGCCAGCTAGCCCCAAATGCTATATGTCCCATTCGCCGGCCATGCACATGAATTCCTCTGTAGACGCCATGCTCTGAACTCCATCTGGATTCAGATGAATTAAGATCGCCCACTTGGCACAAAACGGCGCCCCAACATGCCTCCAATTCCAGCCAAGAAATAAGACTCACATGTTACCGGCTTTGTGCTTGCCCATTGGCTCGGTCTGCACTGCCAGAACGTACCGCATGCAGGTACGTGGAAATATACGTTCGCGTTGAATGTATCATGGCTTCGTGCCGACGATCTGATCTGGCTAGCTTTGCCCGTGACCTAATGCGGCCAAGCGCGCGGCCACATGCGCGTCGTCACGGGCCACGGTATCCCCACGCTATATAAGCGCTAGCCATCGCCCACCGTGACACACCCAGACAACCGACTGCCCCCCACACACGCACACATCAAGCAGCAGCTGATCCACCAGTCGATCGATCCGACAGCTAGCTAGCCATGGCCGCCGGGAGGAAGGTGACGATGAGCAGCGCCGGCGTGGCCGCCGCGCTGGTGGCGCTGCTGGTCGTGGCGGCGGCGTCGGGCGCGGCCGGGCTCAGGGTCTGCAGCGTGGACAGGGACAGCGTCGTCAACAACTGCAAGTCCTACTGCACGGTGGGCAGCACGGAGGCCAGCCCCAGCGGCGCGTGCTGCAACGCGGTGCGCGGCGGCAACTTCAAGTGCCTCTGCCAGTTCAGGAACGCGCTGTCCCCGGACATCGACGGCAACCGCGCCATGCAGATCCCCGCCAAGTGCGGCTACGGGGCGGCCTCCTGCTAGTCACCGTCACGCACTATGCAGCCCGATACGCGCCGGCCGCCGCGGTCCGCCGCCGGTCGCCGGTTGCACCAGTAGATCGTAACGTGGTGTTTTGCTGTCAACTTTCAGTCGTTCGTAGGAGTACGTACGTTCTGGTCGGCTGGCTGATCCGAACGCGCTCCTGCGTGCGTGCATGCATGCTTTGTGTTGGCCATGCATGCTAGTACCTTTGTATCCTCTTCTGCTTTTCGTAAGTGATGTTGCTGTGTGTCTACAACCATGTCGCAGAAATAAACTTGTTTCCCGTGTTAGTTAACTTTTAGTCCTTCTCTATATGTCTGTAGATTTTTTTTTTCTGGATCATCTATCAATAATTCCAATAAGTTCTGTGAAACTTTTAAATAAATACTCCCTCTGTTTCTAAAACTAAGTCTTTTTAGAGATTTCAATATGGACAACATACGGATGTATATTGACGTACTTTAGAGTGTCGATTTACTCATTTTGCTTCACATGTAGTCCGTATTGAAATCTCTAAAATATCTTATATTTAAGAACGAAGGGAGTAATAATCTGAAACACATTCCTGCAAAAATAGAAAATCATAGGCCATGGGAGGAGAGTCTTCGGGAAATGTAAACAAATTTTAGTAATTTATATATAGATCATAATATCCGTAAAGGCCTTATCCACGAGGGCTCCAGTTTGGCGCTTCACGCGCCGAATTGCGGGCAAGGCTAAGGCGAAACAAAAGGCAGTGGGCCGGCCAGGTAGCCATGTGGTTTCGTCATGCTGACATCACATACATGATTTTCTTTTTAATTTTGTTCATATTTTGAAAAATACTAAATACATATATTATGTAAAATAATTTAATTAGCTTTATTAAGTGTTCATAGCACATTTAAAAACTGTTCATGCAGTTTATAAAAATTGTTCGCCCAACTTTTAAAAAATGTTTGTGTCAATCAAAAAAAGTATTTCCCCGAAAAAACCAAAACATTATGTGACATTTAAAAAACGCTCACTCAATTCAAAAAATGTACTCGGCATTTTTGAAAATTTTTATACAATGTAAAAAATCATGTAATTCCAAAAAACTATTTCTACCATTAAAAAATGCATGTTGCATTTAAAACAATGTACAGGTGTTTACAAGATAATTTTGTAATATTTTAGAAAAATGTTTATACAATGTCCAAATAGGTTCATGTAATTAAAAAAATGTTTCAACCTGTATTTGAAAAATGTTTAACATGTATTCATTTTTTTCGAAACTTGTATTTGAGAAAGTGTTAATCATGGGTTTGGAAAATGTTAAATATAAATATAAAATGTTTTGCATGTGTAGAAATGTGTATGAATAAAGTAGACGCCAAAATTATATCTGAAAAAAATATTAACCATGTATTTGAAATTTTTTAAAGTGTATAAAAATATTTTCTTTATGTATACAGAAAATGTACAATGTGTATTAAAAATTATGCATGCGTTAGAAAAGGAAAAACTGACGGGAAAAAAGAAAACTGAAGAAAAAGAAAAACTATCGAAAAAGAGAAGAAAACCCAAGGAAAACCAACGCAAAAATGCGAAAAACCGATAAAAACCGAAAAAACAACAACTCACGCAAAACTGTACTGTTAGGTCCGCCTAATAGCCCCGCGCTGTAGGCGAGACTTATTACGTCTCAGTATGGGCGAGATATAGCTGAAAGCGCCTGTGCGAACGCTCATGGGCCGTGGCTCAATTAGTAGTAAATCTCTCGCTGAGCTTTCCCCGTTTGGGCCGGGCCGGCCGGGCCTAAAAAAGCTCACGGCAGAAAACTGAGGCCTGGGCCTTCCCATGCCCTACCATCAGGCTACTTTTCAAGCCCAAGCCCGGCCCATCTGGTAAAAAGCCCTTAGGGCTTAGGGCTATGGGCCGGGCCTCTTCTTTAAAATGTCAATGTGTCAAGCCCAAGCCCGTCCAGGCCCTGCTGGTAGGCTTAAAACTCAGGCCTAAGCCCAGCCCACGAGCAAGCCCATCAGGCCTAGGCCCTGAATTTTAGGGCCGGGCCTGGGTGGGCCGACATGGCCGGGCTGAAGATGGCCAGGACTACTCCAAATTCACGGTGTGTGGGAGAAGCCACCTCCCCAGCAGATCCGCTGGAGGCGCACGAGTGAAAGGCCCGGTCACCGCTGACACCATCTAGCCTTTGCCCGGCGACAGCGAGAGGAGGGTAGCAGAAGGAAGACGACCGAAGGAGGAGACGCGTGAGGTGCCCGTGCTAGTGGAGGAGACCTGAGAGCGACGCGGGGGTCTTCGTCTCTTTGAAGAAGACGCTCCTTGGAAACTGCCGCTTGTGCTAGTGGAGTGGAGTGCGGTACCATTCACGTAGCCTTGGAAATTTCCTTGCATCGATCGATCTTGGCACATGCAGCAGCTTCACTTGTGCTGGTGGAGTGGAGTGCAGTGCCATTTATGCGGCCGCTGAGGCGACCCGTTGATGATCAAAAAGTGACTGACGTGTCGCGCCGACACCCGTGAACCGAACATGCATTGTCTATGGGTTCAAACAGTAGACCGCGTACATACTCCCTATGGTCCTTTTTACTCTGCATATTAAATTTGTCTGAAGTCAAACTTTGCTAAGTTTAACCAAATTTATATTAAAAAATACTAACATCTATAATACCTAATGAGTATAATATGAAAATATATTCCAAGATGGTTCTAATGATATTGGTGTTGACATATAAATGTTAATAATTTTTTGTATAAACTTGGTCAAACTTTGAAGAGTTTGACTTCAGACAAACCTAATATGCTGAGTAAAAAGGACCGAAGACAGTATATACTCCTTCATTCTAAAATAATAAGTGTCTCGACTATATACAAAATTCAGTGCAAAATTATATTAAGCTTTTTTTTTGAAAAAAAATATTATACTAAGCTTGAGACATTTATTTTGAAACGGAGACAAGAAATAGCATTTTCTCGTAGTTACAAAGTCACGTCAAAAACTCGGTCGACCGCCAAATGCATCGCCCAGGAAATCCAGCGTAGCCACTAGAAAAATGTACTATGCATCTTGCTTTTTTTTAGTCAATGTTTTACCATTTGTCAAGGATTCGGCGGTAACATTACGGCTACAGGAAGCAGAGCATCATCAGAAAATCTACTCCTCTTGTAGTGTACTAGTAACTATGCACGTGCACGCACATGTCCCTCATCAAATATAAATCTGAATATGCTCAAAGTACCCAAAATTTAAAATCCATGTCCTAGTATAATTTTTAAAAAAATGTTTATAAATGGGAATCTATATATAAGTATTGTAGAATGAACTTTCGGAGATAAATTATAGTTGAACATAAGAATCTTAAGATTCCTTTCAAAAACCAATAAATACATTCAGTAAACACCATGCTAGGTGTATGCCAAGTGCACTTCATAGAGTTTTACACTGAACAAATACTATGCCAAGTACATATCTGCCTTTGCAGGGTGCTCAGCATAGAATGTTTTTTATGTAGTGTATTTGCCCAAAGAAAAATTTCAACATCACAAACTGCAGGCTCCTCATAGAGAAAGACCGTTTTGATGTACTGAAGAGGCATTTAATATTACTGTGAAAATAAATGAGGTTACATCTATTGTTAACATGGTATATAGATACAATCCACCAAATACAAATAGGGCTATTCAAACAAGACTTCAAATCGTAATCTAAAAATAAGGAGGTGCACTTAACTTTGGTGGCAAACAGAGCACATAACAAATCTGACGTGAATTATCATATGCATGTGTGCAAATGCACATACAAAGTAATGCACAATTTTTTTTTCAATATTCAAGCTTGTACTATGTACAAATAACCAAGTCAAAAAATATTGCAGTACGATCGAATATTGGAAATCAACTACATATGTTCAGATTTTCAGTGTAAAAACAGGGCAATAAAGCAGGAATACAACGACGCTGGATGTCTCCAAGCAGCTCAAAGCAAAATCCTGTTAGGCAATGACCTCACTATGTGTGTCGCTGCTGTTGATGGCGTCTTTGTCTTCTATGCATGACAGAAGCAACTTATATGGGGCATGAAGATGACAATAACTGTTGCACGGGCATGGTCCCAAGCTAAGCTATGCTCGCCTGAATTAGAATTTGGCGAAGAGCATTGTTGTATCATCACTTGTGTCTGAATTAGAATATATGATAGCTGTGTTGCAAACAGAATATTCAGTTTCGCTATTTCTATAAGTAAAATAAAAACCACAATCCATCAGTGTGTAATTCCATCTATCAACAGAAGGCCATATATTTTATTTAAATTTGAATGCAGATTGGCCTATTTCTTAGCAAAAGAGTCCATATCTGGAAAAAGAAATTTTGGATTGGAAAATGCATTTAGGAAATTTCAAACCAGAATCACCACGTCTTAAGCTCAACTTAACTGGAAGAATCACTACGAAGTTTTCAAAACAAAATAGTCAGATTGTTACGCAAAAAACATTGAGAGTAGCATTACTACATGTGGAAATCATCATAATAATTAGAAGAGCATACCCTGCCCAGATGGATAGGGGAGCCGATACATATAGACCAGTGTGCAACACATGTAATCAACAAATATAAGGTGAGATTCTACTCACCATATTTGTGTCGCAAAATCAATTTCAACAGTATAATCTAATAGTAGAGGGTAAACATAGATAAGTGTTTACCTCTTGTCCGATGTCTTTGTTGACGCCATTGACATTTCCAAAATCATCCTGCAACCTTCCATTTATGTGATTGTTATAAATACACCTCAAATCTGATGTGATCACAAACTGTAAAAAATAAAATGAGCAGATAAGCATCACATTCCAACCATAATCCATCAAACTTTAATAAGTAGTACATAGATAAGCTATAAAAACTATTTTCTTAATTCAGTGAAAGCACAAAAGAAACATTACTGGATGAGGTAATAAAGAATAGCTAAATGATGCAACAATGGGAACATATTCAGATTTCAGAATACAATAAGTTTGAGG